CCCCAGAGTGGTGTGCTGACACCACTTGGGGTGTGACCATCACCGAATGTGTTTCCAGGTTCATAGCCATTTCGACGCGGGAGATGCATCAACTCTATGGCATACGGCATGAGCAAATAGGTCAGCTGGGAGTTTGCTAGTGCTTTGTTGCGTCTGAGTCTCAGGTCATGAACTTCATGTCCCAGAAGAGTCAAACACCTTCGCCGTCTGGACAAGGACTGCGCTGTGCTTCAAGTGCAGCCAGAATCACGCACTGGGTGCGGCTTTTGCCACTACCTTTACCATCTGGCTTGTAAAAAGGCAGGCCTGGTTGAGTGGCCTAGTTTGGTCCTGTTGGTCCCTCAAAAGGACCCTTTTCATTCATGTGTTGTTTTTTTGCCGGTGATGCGGAATTAGCCCGCTTTGCAATGCTGCGCGCAATAGTTTTTGCATTTATTGATGAAAAGGCATTGTTTCTTAGAGGAGAGTCATCAACGACATTTGACAAATGGTTTTGTACTGTACTCGTAGTTATTAATATCTTTTTCATCAACCGCAGATGCCGTTGAAACACGTCACATTTGTCTTGTAGTATGACTACTACTATTTTGTAGGGCCACCATACTCAGAGTCATGTTGATACAAAAAATATCAAGTGGCACCTGGTTCCTAACCAGACAAATCCATACCCATGGCGGGTCAGATGGGGATGAATTCAGTGCACCGTTTGGTGAGTATATATTTTGTTGCACATCATTTCCGCAGATAGGCAAACCACGTCATACCACATTATCATACTACAAGACTAGAGTACCCTTCCACATTCTATAGCAATGCTCATAGAAGCTGGGAGATATGTTGGGGGCTGCTCCTGAATTGAGCTGTTTATCATCACTCTTAGTACAGGCCAACCTGCCAACCACCGTAAGATCCACTGTCTCAGGCTGGGGGCAATGGTCCCATCCTAGGATTCTGCAGATTCACAGTCTGACGTGCCCCCTTTCCCAAGCAACTAAGCGCCATGTGGACCACACCGCTCATCATCGCTCCAGTGATTTTGTGATGTTTTCATCGCTCCCACGGGCAGGATCTAACTTCACGTCTCCCGTGGGGCTGAGACACTTGCCAGGGAGGCTTCCGGGTGTTTGGCCCTCGACGACTCGACGGACACATCCGGGTCCATCCTCAAAGATCTCGGGTGAGTCGAAGATTGGTGAGAACCTTGGTGGGCCTAGCTGGGATAGCTCCCTCCCAAGAAAAACCTTGGTGATAGCTCACTGGTTTGGCAAATCGGCAAATCCCTCCCAAGAAAACTGTATGAAGTAGGTCACGATGGGGTGACCATCCGGTCACACCTGTGCACCGGGTGTGGCCCCAGCGAATCCGCGGATGGCGGCCGCGATGGAACTCCGTTGGCACTCAGGAAATCTCTATGGCCTGAAAGAGGAGGGACGGGTTACGCGTTCAGTGCTTTGCTAGGTCGACAAGTGCAAATACTTGAGACACGCGGCGTGAGCTTCTATCGGCAGCCTCTAGCGGCTGGAACTGGCAGCCTCTAATAGTGAAGTCCTTGAGACCCAAACTTAGGGAGGATTTCCTCTATAGCAGTGAGATCCTCCAGTGAAATGCTTGCACCAAGAGGTGAGCTTCGGGCCTCCGGGCTGGTGGGCCTCCGCTGGGATTGGGGACATTAGAGCAAGCTTTGAGTGTCAACCAACGGTATCAGATATGTGAAGACGATTCAGAGCATCTCCTCCAGATGTTGGATGATGTCGGTAGGTTTCAAGATGCCTCCACACGGAGATGTTAATAGGTGTTGAATTGTGCCATTGATGTTTCAAGATGCCTCCTCCATCCTCCATCCTGGATGGGCTTGGAAAACGCCTGCCCCCGTGTTCCGTTTTCCATGCGGAGCCTCGCCGTGTTCCCCACCCGTCAGGAGTGCGAGTTGTTGGTCCATTATGCCTTCCATGCGGAGGCGACGGTTTTCGGCGGAGACCGCGCGCCGAAAGCGCCGAACGGTGCCGGTCGAGGTCTTCGTGGTGACATGGGAAAACCTGGAATTTGAAGGAGGGTGTGGAGCTCGAGAGGGAAGAAAGAGCCTGTCAGTAGGATGAAGACTTATTTTTACATGTATCCGTCCAAAGTGGTGAAACCTAAGTTGCTTCCCCGAGACTTCCCTGTGAGAAGAACATTCTGAGCAGACATTTGGCTGATCCTGTCGACTTCAGGAGGAAAAGAACGGAATCTACTAAAAGAAAGAAGCACCTGTGTTCCACTTGCTAAGATTCCAAGATTCAAAGTTTATTGGGTCCCTGACAGGATGAACCAATCATCACAAGCCTTCATGTAGCAACCAGTTTGCAAGTCCTTGACCATTCTTTGACCATAGAAATTGCTCTTTGTCAACGTGTTGTCAGTGCCTGCCACCATTGTTTGTTTGGCAAATCATGTCAGAGCTCGAAAAGAAGCGTGATCAATTCCGCCCTGCCCACACAGTATCCCAAAGTTAGACAGTTAGATGAACAACGGAGTCCATCAACTTTTTAGCTTTTAACCCCCGTAGCAGAGTGGTGTTTGTCACTCCCATGATCTTGTTTTGTTGAGTTTTATTGGGATTGGTTTCTCCACTTTGCTGAGCATTATCACCACTATCACCACAGTTCCCAGTGTTTTGCTTGCTTCAGGCGCCATCCTTGGCACTCCTACGAGACGACGAAGCAGCTCATGCACGTGGCTATCATGCCTTGTGGCATGTGAGCATTTGGTGCGACGCTGGTGGTGGGAGTCATTTGCTAAAGTCAACTGTGTACATTGCGATTACTGTGCAGTTCTGCGCCCATGGCATTTGTTTCTGATGAAACAGTGACTATACTTTCAGTACGTGGCCAGCATCTGATGAGGAGGCAAGCAGCTACACTCTTTACACCCGGCGCTTTTCAGTTGTTTGAACCCACGACACGTGTTGCATTTTGCAGGGGTCTTCACCCACCAGCAAACAGCGATTTGTTCACAGCTTTCTGCAAAGATGTTCCGCATCTTGGTGTGTGACAATTGCGGCAACACGTGTCAAAGAAGCAACAAACTGTTATGTACATGTTGTTCGCCGAAAGGCCCAGGAGGTGGGTTTTGCCCTCTCATACTTGTGTTCGTACTTGATTGGCCGGAGGTACGAAAGCAACGCCACAGAGATGTCCAAGGAGGTGAATCGATGATCGGATCGATGATCGATCCCGGCATCGATGGGGAACTGCAGTGCTCATTTTAGGTAGATCACTGCTCCAAAGTCCATAGCATGTTCATGGATTTTTATCAGGTCCCCTTTCTTTGGCAAAAGGTGAAGAGAATGATCACAGGTCAGCTTCTCGGCCTTGTTCCTGGACAGGTTTCTCTTGGTGTTTGGAGAGTAGATCTGAATGGGCGACTTGAAGGGTCAGACATTTTGAATTCACTTCACTGACGGCAACATATGTTTAATATCTCACTTCCTATACGCACATTTACATCGCTTTGTGGTGTTCATTGAATCACCTGTCATCCCCGACATTCAGGTGGAGATTGGTCCTTTGCCCAAGGAGGTGTGGAGGGCCACGGCACGCACTGCGGCACGCACTGCGGCAGGGACCGGAGGGCCGAACCATCCGTGAGACGATCAGAATTTGGCAGGTAAAATACGTATAAACTGAGTCATGTCATGTATACAATCCGTAGAGTCATTTGCCTATCTACAATCCGTAGAGTCATTTGCCTATCAGAACAATTTGACAATCCGTAGAATATGTATAAACTGAGTCATGTGCCAATGGTTTGGAGGTGTGTGTTGGGGCGAACAGCCGCTGGTCTTTCCCTGGGTTATTTCCTCACCCAACCAGCCCACCAGACCCGATCCCCCAGACACTGAAGAACAACGTCCTCGGTGAAGAACGCGTTTGTTTTCTTGTTTTTGGATGCCATGTCCTGGAGGCGCTGCATCTTCAAGGCCCAGTGCCACAGTTGCACACGACCCTCCTGCGCAGGTGCCGACATGCTCGGCAGCTCGTGTGTTCGGTGTGTTCCCTTTTCTTGGTCAATCAACCTCGAACCCTCAAAGCGCCTGGTCAAAGGAGGACTCAGACGTTTTTCTCGAAGCTTCCAGTGTGAACCCCAGTTCTTGGGGTTTCCCCCTCATCCGCCCTCTCAGACTTCCTCCCATATGGTTTCTCTTACGTTATATTCAAAGCCCCACAGTCCAGGTCATAGAAGCATGAGAAGCTGTGGGAGGACGATTTCATGTTGGTGTTCAGATTGTATTTGTGATTTAGCAGCTGGTGGGGTTCGGTGAACATGTTGACATAACCTGGTCTCAAGATGATGAGGCACACACACACACACACTTGAATGAAATATACAAGTTCCACTGGCAGTTTTTTTTCTTGCGACTGTAGCTTTTCCATAGCCTTGTCCGACTTTTGGTTTTACAGTAATGGGTGTGGAGAAAACGCCAGTAGCTTGCTACAACGTGTTTCCTCTTGCAGCTATTCGGTATTAGTTTGTAACAAGGTCATTTCTCATTGGCCTTTTTGACTCAAAGACACATGACCGCATTGTCTTGGGCAGTCATTCCCTCAGGGTGTGCAACGGGAAGATCAGAAAAAAAAAACATAAATGCGTCCAATAAATGCGTCCAAAAAGGATCAAATGGACATGGCTGTCCCACTTAAGGGCAAGGACATTTGGGCGCTGCAGCTGGGACCCAGCCGCTTGACGTAGGAATAACATAGCACGCAGGAATAGTGAGCGCAACAGGCATGTTTGGATCATATTTGTGTATCATGCTTGACATCATGTTAGCTTAATGTTCTTTTAATCTCCCAACTATCTCCATCTCCTGATCGGTCAAGACCTCCGACCGACTCAACATGGATGCACATCACCCAAATTGCAGTCAGCAAAGAAGCAGCCCTGTAGGTACGCAGCATCAACATCACAAGACAGGGCCTGAAACTGAACAATCCATTCACATACCCGGACCTGGTCAACCCATGGTGCTTCCGGGCCTTCTGGAGACTTTGGGTCGATCCGAAAAGAGTGCCTTGGACTGGCCGTTTTTTTCATATCAGGAGGACTCAAATCAATATTGGTTAATCCATGTTAATCCAATAACTGATTGTACTTATAATCCATGCTTGGCCATGAATTCAACCCTCTTTGACCATGCACTTCAAGCCACCTCGAATCATTCGAGCTGTCAGCATGTCAGCATGTCATTCCAGAAGTACCACAGACAATTGCAAAACTCGTGATTGCCACTCGTCAATTTACGTCACCTGATAAGCACCATGCACAAGTAAACACTCGATGAGAGTTTCCCTCGATGTTTGTTCCCCATACTTTTGGCCCCATATATATAAAACTATGTGTTTTCTTTGCTTTCTCATTACACAGCAATCCTTAAGCTCGACAAGACGCCAGCCACCCACCGAGGCTCTGAGAGGAGGAAATCGGAATGGAGCTCTGCCCAGGAGTACATCGTCGAGAAGATGGGCGCCTCAGTGTTGGTTTGGGCTTGGAATATCTTGGAATGTTTGTTCAACGCCCTCCCTGACAACAAGTGAAGCTTCTAGACATTCAGCTGTCATTTTGCTTCCTCATGCCTTCAGACCGTGTTCAGGGTGGTCTGTCTGAAACGCGGTGAGGAAGCCTTCACCATGACTCCCAGTTGACCACTGGTAGCCATAGAGAGGGGTGGAAGTCCCGTTTCAGACACGAAGAGCAGACAGGAGTGGAAGTTGAACAGATCCATCGCGTTGGATTCCACCATCCAACATCATCCAACTGTTCCTGAAAAGACCCAGGGTCGCCCCAGGATCGCCAAGGATCGCAATTCAAACCACGTCTGGCTGAGCCATGTCCCGGCCAAGCCATGTCGCAGCCAGAGTTCGGACTTCTGATCTTCCATCCGCCACTGCGCTTTCCTTTCTCAGGTGCCGAGAATCTGCGGATCACACAGCTGCGCTTGGTGACGGCCTCTTGGCATGCTGAGCATGGAAGGAAAACTTCACTTGACTTGATCCTGGCAGTTCCTGGTATCAATCAAATAGACAATTTGTCACCCATCCTGCAGTTCCACCCGATACAAATCACGGGTTTACATAGCTCGCTTCCGTTTGTATGCTTTCCGCTTTGGCCCAAGAATCAGCCCACTGGTCGAGCGATTTCGAGGCCTTGCTTTGGACGCTGATTGCTTGCTGCACCATCTATCGGCGCTTCGACTTGCCACAGCTACGTGCCCAGGACACAACCCGACATAGACAATATATACCAGCACCCTCCAACAGGCTGTTTGGAGACCCTAACAGGTGGTTTCTGGGCACCTGTTGTCACCAGGAAGCACCTGTTGGAGGGGGCTGGTACATGATAGTCCCTTTCTAGAGAGTAGGTTGGAGGCCATCGCTATTAGGTTGGAGGCTATACATGATAGTACTCGCACTCCCCCGTAGAGCCAAAACAAGGAGTGGTCAGTTTTGGGCCCGCTCTAGAAGCATCATCAAGGGCACCAATGCAGTCGGCGCCACTCCATGATGACCTGTGATGTGATGACAGTAGCAAGACCATATATATATATATATGTACGTATGCTCACTCACCAGCAACAGCAACCCCTTAAATCGTTCATGCCTTCTAGATGTCACAACACCTTCCAGCACTTACTGACAGATCTGCCCCCAAACAAACATATTAAGGCTTAGCATGTCCATACTTTCCCGGCTTCGGACGCCTGGTTTGCACAGCCAAGGCTGGGTGCTCATGCTGCACCACCTCATGGCAGCTGTTGGGGTGGATGAGGCCCGGGTCGAAGCCACACACAAGCTCAGATGATAAGCCCCTATTACCAGGGCCCCCTAAGGGGTGTTTAATGGGCACCCCTCAATACTAAGGGGCTATGATTAGACACCCCCCCGGGCCCTGCTTTCAAATGCAAAGCCAATCTTCCAAGTCCCTCCCCATCTACATCCATCTATACTCACTAAAACGGAAGTCGTCTTTGAAGGGACCATGGGCGGACCAGGCCATCCGTGATGCGTTCGTGATGCGTATCTCCACCTGCTTCCCCACCGTCCTTCGCCTGCCAGGCCATCCTCATGTCCTTCGCCGCCTCCGAGCCCTTCGCCCTTCGGCTGCTGCGTCCCGGCACACCGGTCACACCCTGGATCCCACGACTGCTGCCGCGCAAGCAGACGGTGCGCGAGCGGTGGGAAGAGTGGGGGGAGCTGAGGAGGCCGAGGTTTCCGAGGAAGGAAGAGAACTCCATTGGAGTTCTACACTGGTTGGAGCAGACCTTCAAGGAGTTTCATGGAGTTTTCTTCAACCATTTTTTTGAACGGCGGAGTTTTGATTCTTATGGGTTTTAGGGCGGTGCGCTACATTCTTCTCCTGAGGTGTCAAGGCTAAAGGCCAAGTTCGCTCCAACCAGCTACCTCCAGCCTTCAGCAGCTTTCGGTGTCCTCTCCTGTGTAAGTCAACAAATTGGCTTTCACCGATTCTATGTTTGTGTTCTGAATAAAAGACACAGATCTTGGTCCTTAGCAGTAGCAACAATCTGTGAACAAACCCCATCAACTGCTGGGAGCACCTCCACTAGCTCTAGCAGGTGCTGGGAGCTGGCGTTTATGCCGGCTGGGTGCTTTTGGCAGCTGTCCAGTTAATCACGTACCGTGTCGCCGACCAGGACAGTGGACTCCGATTGGACTGATTTGCAGTTCCTTGACTTGCCCTCCTGGAAGCTGACATATATATAGAATAGAATCAAATTGATTTGCCAAAAAGGAGGAACATAACTTGAACGAACATTAAAATATCATAACCTGTCCTAAGCTACTTGTTCCCGTGCTGAGAATTTGGAATGTGGCTTTGTTCATAGAGTTGGAATACATGCCACCTAGAGGCAGAGATTGCGTTGCCTGCCTCGTTTGTAGTCACAGGTCAAAGGATAACGGTTGAACTCGAATATGTTCACCATGCCTTGGCCGTTCCTGAATGTGCTGAACAACTGCCTTTTGCGCCTCAATGCTTGAAGGACGTTCTCCTCTTCACTGGCATTTTCCTGCTTGCTTGCATTTTTGATTCTTGGAATTCCGGTTGCGACCTCGCGGCTCCCGGTGTTTTTTGATTTCAACTCTAGTGGTGCCAAGGTACAGAGTACCGGGGTGCCAACGGCTGAGGGGTCCCCCCTTTCGAGTATGAATATGTGGAGTTGTTTGGAACACTTTGCAACTGTGCCGGATGTGGGTGAAACCAACCAACCTACGAAAAGATGTGAGTGAGTGCGCTTCCAAAAAACGACACGAGATCTTGATAGCTGAGCTTCTCCCTGTATCGGATTCTAAGGTGGTTTCCCAGGGTGTCCAGACCATGTGTAGCTGAGTCTGGATCCCAAGTGGCCTGTTTTCCAGGGATCCTTTGGTTGCATAATATTTGAGCATGTTTGGTGGGTGACATGTAAAGTCTTCTGCTCATTTTGGGCTGTACAGGAAAGTTACTTTGTGACCGTGACCCGTTCCATGGTTCCCCCAAGGGCCTAAGAGATGACTCGGGCCGGGTTTGGTGTTCTCCCATCCCATCTACATCCGGGAAGATTCACACAGAACATGAAAACCTGATCCAACAAACACACGAGGTCCCCCGATGCCGCAGCTCCCGAGTCCGTCCCAGAGCCCACGACTACCCGCAGACCCGAAGACCTGTCTCCACTGCGAGCGCTCCAAGGACCGAGGCCTGTTCCACTCCACGAGACTTGGCGCCATCGTCGCGCTGCGGAGGCGGAGGCGGAGCTGGAGGGCGCCTCCTTCTGGGGTGAAAAAAAATGCGCCTTCCGGAGCATGATGGTGTGGAATGATGGGTCAGGTATGCACCGGGCATGCTATACGGTGCTATACCTACTGGTACTATACATTCTACTGATTCTACTAGTTATATGAGCAACCACTTTTATTTAGGCTTCTATTTGCTTGTCTATCATCAGTATTGCTTGTGAACAAACGAGGTATTTTTGCTGGATGACACTAAAGTAGTCTGAACGAGATAGTGTGATTTGCTTCTAAAGTAGTCTGAACGAGATACTGTGACATGACCTCCTACTTAAGTAGTCTAAACGAGATAGGTCCCCACATAATAGATTAGTGCTGATTAGTGTATTTGAGTGTAGTGCCAATAAAATGCCGCCGCACATATCCGTTTTTGGGGCTCAGTTCTACACCCACACCTGAGTGAGTTTGGTGGGGGATCTGTAGGGGCCACCGTGATCCCTCTGCCATTGAGGAGACCCTCAGACATCCTCAAGTTCCTGGTGTCTAGCTTGCTTCGACCTGACAGCACTTACATGCTGCTGGCATGTTTGCACCACAACTGCACCAACGAGATACTATTAAATACAATGGCTGGACGATGCTGGACGTTTGTTAACGAGCGTTTCGCTGTGGCGCGGTCGCAATTTCACTTATTTGGTAATTGCTGTTTTTGTTTGTGTGTGTTCTTTGTTGTCGTCATCATCATCAACATCATCATCATGATGATCATCATCATCATAGCTTTTTCGTTTGCTCCCAGCACAAACAGAACATCACAACGAGTGTTTGAGATGTTTGTGTGACATGGATGCGCTAAGTTGCTGACCCCACTCACGACCGTGTGGACTTGCAGCTGTGCGAGCCACCTCGACCGTGCTTCCACCAATTGGCACCATATGGTACGATATGGTAGCTGTATACCCCAAATAGATAGAAACGGTTTCCGATCACCATTTTTAGTGGGGATCTACTTTATATGTTTGTCCCATTGCTGGTCTGTGAACATCAGTTTGAGAGTGAACATCGCACCTGGTTACCGCAAGTGAGGTACTTTTGGTCAGGCCACTTGGCTGGCACCGCGGCAATATAATATATATATATATACAATATATAGAGCCTTACAGTGACCTCTATTTTGGACCAGATGGATTCCAAGCATGTTGCACTGACATCGGCTTACTGAGAGCAGTGAGGTAGATAATTGATGATCATTGTCATCATTGTATGAATTGTATGTCATTTATTGTCATTTCAGTCATGCGCATGTCAAGATCATCCAAGCAGAACCATATCAAATCAGCCCAGGTTTCTACAAGGTCCGTGGATTCTTCCATGGAATCTCGCCTGAAACAAATCGAGCACACGGAGTCGAGACTCCTGGACACACATTGGTTGGGTCGCGGATCCTCTTTGAAAGCAGGGTCGAACCAGACGACCAAAAGCCTCCCCAATTTGGTCGATCTGTCGAGATGGGAGTCGCTGCGGGGAGCGATCCGAAATCGGCCAAGCCGCGAAGCCGCTGGTCGCAAGCATCTGCCGTGATGCCAACGGGAACGCTCCTGAGGGCATTCCTTTGGAGGGTTTTCGGTCAACGGCCGAAAGGTGGGAAAGGTCCTGAGGACACCTTATGGCACACAAATCTGAGCATACAGAACAGGACCCCCCAGATTTGATCCAAGCATCTGTTAAATCAATCACACTGGAACTTCACCTCTTTGGTTCACACCAGTCTGGATACGGCTGGACGCAGCATGGCTCACACCTACAGCTTAACCATCCATTGACAGAGAGAGAGGGAGAGAGAGGGAGGAGGTTCCTCCAACCAAGGCTTCGTGTTTCAGTACCAATTCCTCAATTTCTCGGGCGTCTCTTGGCTCTTCCGTCGCTGTTACCTCACCCAGGCAGGTCGGGTTCAGAGTCGGGAGTTCTCAGGAAGTGCAGAGATGGTGAGCGGGTGGTGACAGAGCCAGGCATCCTGGGCATCATACAGTCTTTTGGTGTCTACATATGTTTGTTTAAGATGTATCTATAATATCTAACTATTGAAGGTGTGTAGCATTGCACATTCTGCATCTTCCACTCTCACGAATCAAGCTTTGGATAGCTTTGTTCAAGCACTAAGCACCAGCAACTATTCATATAGCCAAGAGCAGCAGTATCATCCTCACATTATACCACATGTTTTTGTTTGCTCTTATCCAATCCGATCCCGTTCCTTCTCCCTCCATCGTCCAAACTCATCGTCCCACGTGCCGTTTTGTATCCCATTCTATCCACCACGTCGCCACGTCCTTTGTCCCATCCTGGTTGCATCGATCTCATCCCCTGCTGGACAAGTTCGAGTTCTTCCCATGTTGAGACCGCAGATGGCTAGTCCAGAAACTCATGGAAGGCCAAGGGCAGCCGTCACTTCCCAACGAGCATTCAAGACCCAGTTTCCAACTTATGGGGAAAACAGATACAATGTGTTTCAGCCTTTTCCATCGAATCAAATCTGTCTTGTTTCTTTGATTTTCCAGGAAGTAGCATGAAAAGCCTTGCATTTGGGTGTATTTTCCTTCCCAATTGCTTGGACATCGGCAGGCCACACCGTTGCCAGTCAGTGGATGACATCTAAAGATGTAAACTTTTTGAAGGGGATTGAGGACACCCCCCTAAACAAAAACCGGTGGAACGTTAAACCTGGATGTTCATGGGGATCGCAAAGGCATCGGGAGTCGGTCGACACCCCAACCCTCCAGGACTATCGGCCTCGGCCCTTCAGTCGACTCTTCGGGCAGTTCGGCGCTTGGCTGGAGACCTTTGCCGGTCTCGGCATGATGCTGTCAGCCCCATGCATGAAGCAGAAGGAAGAAACATGGAAGAGCCTGGCATAGAGAAGCTGTTTTCGGAGTTTGGTTTTGAGTGGAATATGGTGGGCTTCCTGAACGCCTGGTCCGCCGTGGATAAAGCTCTCCCGTGTTATCCTGTCTTACGGTTAGCTTTGCTGGATGATTTCAGGACCTGGACTAGAGGGACAATGAGGGACATATCATGACATCTGAGTGTTTGTTCTTTTCGGACCGTGCAAGCTGCTGGGGGGGGACGTGTAGGCTGTGTGTTGCTTAAGCCTTCCAGCTGTTCTGTGACCTGTTGACGTTCCGAGGCTTTACCCCACCTTGGTGTGGTGTTCGTGGTCCTGGCGCTGGCCATGCACGTGTGACTCGATTTGAGTCGAACCAATGTTGGTTGGACTGGGGTTTGGCTCGAACAATGTCCGTAGGATCCGTAGAACATGATGAAACGATGATGACTTTTTGGATCGAAACCAGTGTTTCGAACCGCGCATGCACACGGTCGTAAGCGTTGGATGAAGATCCGCATGTTGTGAAAGTCTGCAAAACGGGTGGCGGTTTTAGATGGACAAAGTGACTCATAGCTGAGTGAGGGACACTGTCATGTACACTGTCATGTCAGTCAAGATAATCCAAGATATAGATTTATAGAGACTGAGTTTGGAGTACTTCATTGACCTTGTTGTCCTTCTCTTCATTAATATGTTTCCTTCTAGAAGAGAAGATGGCATGTTGAATCCTTGATGCGGAAGAAGTTCTTTGAATACTTGGCACTTCTCGGCTTCGTTTGCTGACAGGGCTTATCGGACAATCAGAGTGGGCAGAAGAGCTGGAAGAGTGGGCATAATCCACATGTACATTGCTCGGTCTTCCTCTACCGCAACACATGTTTAAAATCGCCCCTTTGTAGAGGAAAACGGTGAATCGAAAGCCCGTGTTCTATGCCTGCTACTGGTAGTACAACATTGATTCCAGAAATGGGATGGCTGTCGCAGGGTCTCAATTTTACGCCGCACCTGGCTTGACATACCCAAGTGCATGGCTTGTGACAGGTTCATTTTCTTCTTTGGCATGGGCCCTTTCCGCTGGAATGTCATGACCTGCTACATGCTGCTGTGCTCCACGAAGCTTCGAATGGAGTCAGCCGGAATGCCAGGCAGGACCGCTGGGGAGGGATAGCATCAATCTCAGCATCTAGAGCAGCTGACTGGCTCGTAAATGCGCAAATGCTAAGACGACCACACTCCATGTTCACCAGCTTGGTTCGCTCGAAGTTGTTTGTGATCACTGTTTTGACCGTGTTTTGGTGATATGTGCCAAAGTCCTAGGGTGAGTTAGTTCCATGTAGCTGGAAACTTCAAAGTCAACAACTGGAAGTGACGTGACTTATCAAGAAACCGGCATATGATATAATGAATATAATTACTCAAGAAACCCCCGATTTCAGTACACTGAGGTTCCAGCCCCATTCTCAAGACATCCATCACCTCTGAATCTGCAGGACTTCACCTGGACCATCACTCCTAATTTGACTCACCTCGGTCATCACTCCATCCATTCGTCCCTTTGCCGCCAACCGCCAAGGTGGCGAGGCGTGGACGTTGCCATCCGTCTGCTGCGCGCTCTACGTGGGTTTCTTCGGGTGGGTGATCCCGGGCATTGGCTGCCTGGACCCAGAGGCCTTGGGGCGCTACTTCGGCGGCTACCGTGCTTTGGAGGGCGCTAGAGCCGAGTGGGAGGGAGGAAGGAAGGGAGGGAGGGAGGGTGGTTGTTGGGGAATTGGGATCTTGGGCGATGTTGACATGCTGTACATGTTGGAAAGAGGAGAGACCTCACACTTAAATACGATGAGTGACATGTTTGTATTTGCTCCATTTTTTGGCTTGTATGTTTGTACCATCTTAGGATGTGTTGTCAGTTCTTTTCATCATCCACCAAACATCATTAAAAAATCTGTGGGTCCTGATGTTCCCCAGTTTCATATTTCACCCAGGCATGGCCACCTTCCACTTCGCCGGCAATGAGACGCTCGGCAATGAGACGCCCCACATCCCATAGATGGTCTCAAAGCGCCAATGGGAGGATGAGGAGGATGTGTCACTTCGAGGGGGGGTTAAAGATGGCTGAAGAACACCTTGCAAGCATTGGCAGACCTTTTGAGACCAATTCTTGCGGAGCAATTTCTGCCAATTGCTTATCCAACGGCAGTCCAATATGGTCCAATACACACTTTTGAGTGCACGCACGGTCCAATGCGCTTGGAACACACATGCTACTCTATGTCTTGAGCGTACGAAGCTTGCAGACTTGTCGAGCTATGTGTTTGCCCAAAGTTTCAAGTGTTTGGTTTCGAGCCATTTCTTCAGCCCACGGAGCGCTTCAATGATCCAGCGAGGATGTATCATGCGCTGCTGGTTTGCAAGGACTACCTCACCAGCCTCGAGCCTTCTGGACCGGCTGGCTCCGTCCGAAAGCTCTTGCTGGAGCGGCGGCAAGACTACCTGCGTCTCAGCGAGGCCTGACCGTTCTCGGCTCATCAACACTTCAATGATAGAGAACTTAGAAAAGAGGTATCACGTATTTTAGAGAAAGGCCTTCACTAACCATCATTATCCACCGTTACTGGTAGTATATAATGGGCTACACCCAATACGCCAATATTTAGTCTTTATTTGGCCTTGTTGAGCACATGATGCACACTATTCTGGCCAAGATATGGCCAGAACAGCCAACCTATGAGGTGATTATTTTGAAATCATGCGATGCTTTTTGAAAGATGGGTACAGAGATAATCAAGAGACGTGAAGAGTCAACCGACTTGCAAGAACACATGCTAGAGCCACTGCTCTCACTCGTTGTGGTCTTTGGCCTCCGCTTGTGAGGAGACAGTATAAAACCAAATTCATACAATAATAAGAGCCCATTCTGCCAGGCTGCCAGACCAAAGCAGTTCTATCATGGGGTAGCCAAAAGCCTTCAAGATCGAGTGATACCAATACCCAAATGATTTGGAACAATCGAACAACTTCTTAGGCAAGGGCCTGTCAGCCATACGAGACTCATTAAAGCTCAATACATAGACAACAACTTCTTAACTCAGTCAAAACATATAATGTATATATATATATATTAGATATACACATGTTATGATTGCTGCATGTCCTTCCAAAGAAGGGGCAGGGCCTGCTCTTGAACTACCGATTCCCGAAGGATCTGGATCTCTTCACGGCGCTGCTCTACTCGGATGGCCTGGATGTGGAGGGAGCCTTGCGGCGCGGTTTCCGAAGGCCTCGAGGTCATGTTTGTTTCTACAAAAGCATGTCAAAGGACAGTCTGGTGACTTGTCAGTATGTGAAAAGGTCTGGTGACTTGTCAGTCCTCGCTGTCCGCCTTGCTTTTGGTATACGGACGTTTAGGCCTTTTGAGTTCTGGCCTGTCCGGGGCCAGGCCCTCGGGGCTTGAAGACTTCGAGGACTTCGATCGGACGCCCGGAACGAACCGTTCCGGCAGATCCGGAGCAGTCGGAGGGAGGGAACAGGGAAGTAAATTAGATCAGGGTGATATACGTATACATGGATATACTATGATTTACTACTGTACATAGAGGGTCTTGTTGTGGCAAAGGATTCGGAGCTCCAACTTCAAGGCCTCCGGCATCAGTGGCTACAGCCGTCTAAAGGAGAGTGGCGCAGAAAGACCTATGAAGCGTTATGGGATATGCCTCGAGATGAAATTCTATCTGGCATATCTTCTGACATTCTATCTGACATACCTTCTGACATTCTATGTGACATATCTTCTGACATTTGACTTGTTTTCACTGGTGGGAGATGTCTCTGGCTGGAGAACGAGTCATCTCTTTAAAGCTGCCTTTTGGAAGGTTGTCCTTTGGCCATTTCAAAGGGAAATGGAAGCTTTCCTTGCTTATCTGGCACTTCTCATGTTCAAGGCGACTCTTGCTCAAGTGTGTGTATATGTGTGTTTTTGGAAAGCACGGCAGAGAGCCTGGTCAAGAAGGTCAAAGAAGCTTGGCTGAATAATTCAATATGAACAATGTATGTATGGTCAGTGTATGTATGTATGTATGTATGTGTATGTATATGTATATGTATATGTATATGTGTATGTGTATGTGTATGTATGTATGTATCTATGTATGTATGTGTGGATGCATCCATGCATGCATGGATGTGTGTATGTATGGTGTATGTATAAGAATGCATGTATGTAAGTCTGTCTGTCTTTCTGTCTGTCTGTATGCATGCATGCATGTATGTATGTATGCATGTTCACATGCTTGAGGTGAAAGACCTGAAGCGCCAGAGGGCTTAATACCTCCTCATGTACAAGCTCAGGGGGGGCTTGTACACCCACACCCCTTCCCTGCCCAGGCCAGGGGCAGGCCCAGGACCCCAAGAGGGACTTCAGGCTGGTCTATGTCTGGGAGAGGGCTCAACGATTTTTGGAGGCTTGGTGCGGAGCTTCTATGTTTGCGAGTGTACAGCTTGGGTCCACAGCTGGCGCACGAATTTCAGTGCTTCATAAGTGCGGATCGATCTTGATTTGTGAGCCAATTTTGATGCCTTGCTGCAATTGATAATAGCGCCAAAACGTGGATTGGCAAAGCAGAGCGTGCTGCCACCACCACTCATCAATCGTTTCAAGAGTGCCGTGAACTAGAAAGGTCTCAGAATCCAAATGCGCAAGCGATTGCTGACCGCTATGCCAATGCCAGCTTTGAGGAGAAGATTCAGATCTTGCCCAAGACCGGGGAAGACGTCAAGCTCAAGTGGGTGTCTGAGTTTTTGCTCAATTCTGTGGAGGCCCACACCTCTCTGGAGTGACCAAATGCCAGATTGCCAAGGAAGAAGGATTGAGTTTGGAGGGCTATGAATCCAGGAGCTTGGGATGCAGAGGCGGACGCCATCTTAAGCAGCAACTTGTTTTTTGCCTTGTGAGTATGCCAAAAACTGTCCCCGACACATCCGATTTTTGAACTCATTCATCACATCTACCTACTGACATGTTGCTTCGTACAGGTTTTTCGCCTGCTTTCCCACTTTTCCACTGAAGAGCGTGAGCTGTCCAGGCCAGCCAGGTTGTTTGTTTAGGTCGGTTTTGAAGTTGGAGTTCCGAATCCTTTGCCACAACGAGTCCTACACAGTATAGTTTTATTGTTGGGAGCATCGAAGGCATCTAGAATTCAGGGTGTGGGCATGGTTTTGGGGTCTAAGGTATGGCCCATGTATACATTTGTTTTGGCGCAATCCCATCAAGCGGACTAAGAACTCTGTGAGCAGCTAGCCTGTCAACGGACTAAACATATGCTTTCGCCCAAGAGTGATCCCACGATTGTTACAACTTTGAGTGCAACTGGCAAAAGCCCATGATTGCCCGTGCAAAAAATGACAACTTCTATCAGGACAGATGTTGCCATCCTTCAAAACCAAGAAGAGTTTCTCTGACCTTCAGGAAGTACATGTTTGTGCCCATCACGTGGTTGAACTGCCGTGGGCCTTTGCTCAACACCAAGTGTTTTGGCCTTCATTCTGGCAGAGACTAGGTGCCGGGTAGCTGGGTCATTTACCAGGGCTGCGCATGGGCTCAACCAAAAGGAATGATAATGGAACCGGTGCCGGTCAGAGGAGGGGCCATTTTTGTTAGGCACGGAGTCAAACTCAGTTGAGGCGGCTGAGTTGATGTGTCAACGTGACATTGGAAGATGCTCAACCCTTTGTTGTTGAGTGATACAGTGGGTGCCCCCATGCATCAAAAACTTGGAAACCTGGAAGTGAGGATGAACAATATAGAACGGTGCGGGGTTCAAAACGAACCATCTATTATTTTCTTAGTCCACATCATGTCATATCTTCAGAATTGTTCAGTGTTTGTTCAATGTTGGAACGAACAATCCATCTACACTGGAAAGAACCCACATGGAGCTTGACAACCACTGGTTTGTGGAGGAAACTAAATTTCCAGGTGCGATACATGTTCAGTTTCCATGTTAATTTTCCTTAGTTCAAGGTACAATGCCTTAGTTCAATTTTCCGCGTGTTTTTTTGGTGCCAGAAACGACTGTAGTTGCTCGATCTCTCCTAGCTTTCCTCAGTAGTCAGATCTCCAGGTGGGATGAGTCCTTGCCCATTACTGCAGCTTGGTGAATCATGGGAGGTGGCCAGCCGGCCCCCAAAAGGTTGGAAGATGTTGGAAGTTCGTGGACTCCCAAGAGACCTACACAATAGGTGTTCCCGGTGTTCATAATTTGTCCCTTCCCTCGTTGAATCACAACCAGGAGAACTTGGTTGCTATGGAACAAGATGTCGGAAAGCACCCATAACCACAAGAGTTTTGTCCTGCGTATAATCTCTCAACTCACAGATGTGTTTTTCCCTCTCTCCCTCTCTCTCCTTATTTGTCTCTCTTGTAGCTTGCTATGTTTGCACCCGAAAGGTACAGAAGCGAATGTGTTGGAGAGGAAAGATGCAGAGTTTTGGATGGGATTTGTTCACTTGCCATTCGTAATGGACGAGAGATGTTTGCTGTCTCTTTGCTTGGTACACTGAAGACTTAGTGTTTACATAACTTTGCAAGTCCAAGTCTAGCCGCAAGTCTTCATGGATGCTCAACATGTTCAATGGTCGAAGGTCCAGACTGAAAAAACTCCTGGATCCAAAACAGCCCCTTTGTTGCCACCCACCGTTTGTTCAGTGCTGCATGTGTAAAACAAGCGAGAACATTGTGTTTTATTGGACACATTAAGACAGCACAGAATCAACATCCTTGGACATGCCACTGCAAGACAGCTCCTGCACCATTGACTTGGAGCTCTTGAAAACACCGTGAAATTGCACTTCCGAATGCTCTGGTCGTCTCATCCAGATACCTTTTCCTTTAGCAGTGTGGAGTCCACAGTCTTCCAGGATTTTCAGAGGTGGCCCCTCTTCATGGGTCGCACGTGAAACGGCGCATGGCAGGAGAGCTTCGTGGATTTGGTCGGCGAGGCCCTGGGTTTTGAGAGTCGGATGCCTCGAGGCGCCATCTTGGTCTTTGTGGCACATCCCATGGTGTCTTGGAGGTGCTGAGAAGGTGGGCGCCGGGGGAAGTAGTCCGTCTTGTTTGTTTGCTGGTGAGGCTAGTTGCTTGTTTTGCTTGCTTTGCTTACTAGATATCATTTTTGAGGTTGTTTGGTTGGTGAATTGGCTGGTTTTCCGGTTTGTTGTTTGGTTGGTTTGTTCGTTATTTGTGTTTTACCCCTGGAAACTACCACTGCACAACTGCTAGATTCTAGATCTTTCCAGAATGTGTTGGATGTTTCTCATGTTAGCGATGGTAGATTGGCGCCTCAAACTCTTGATGTTCCTGTGCACTACTGGGTGCACTTGTTGACTACAGAGTTGGCGTACTCTGACCAAGAAGGAAAGCAACAATCTGCTTGGGAACCCATCCTGAAGGTGGTCACATGGTCCGATTCTACTTCTTGTCAGCTTCACAACACATGAGTTTGGGAAGTTGGCGAGGGGAAGCTGTTGCTTTGCGTCAGGAGGGCTTTTAGCTTTGGTGTTTTGTTTCGGCAAAGGAAATGAACCTTGCAGGAGCATGGTCTCCAAACTCAAAATCTATGTCGGCCCTCCCAGCTACCCCTATAACTACCTGTGCCATCTACCCCTATAACTACCTGCGGTTACCTGTGTATATGTATATATATAAATATAAATAAATATATATATATACAAATATAAATATATATATATATATGTGTACATATAGTGTTTTCATAATCTGATTAGCAGTGAACATCACACCCAAGAATCCAATCCCTTTGACCGGTGGCATCGTGGCTCGCCGGCCTAGGTCTGGATGGGCGGCCAGCGGACACTGGGCAGCCGAAACAAAGGTGCGAAACGGAGTGAGAGGTGCAAACGAACTGGTGTCTCCCTTGCCGTTTGGTGAAGAGTTTTTTTTGTGAATAGTCCAAGTTGGATCATGCCACATGGAATTGGATCAACGAGTCCATGGGTTTCACATGGATTTCATCAACTTTGGTTGTGAACTTGAAGAACTTGTCACTACAATGATGAGTTTACCTGAATATGTGTCTCAAACTTGCATGTGCAGCAGTATACCATGACTGTACAGCAGCCTGCCATCCTCCAGCTCCCGGGGGGTTGGATCCAACTGCCTTTGGGGCGCAAGCACGTCTCAAATTCGTTGATGGAGGCACTTGTGACACAGGCGTGGGGCCCAGTTCCGTGACCATCTACGAACCTACATAGTAATGAAGCCTCTCTAGAAAACATCTCCAAAACCTTTCTACGTCGGATGTCCTAAATTTGCTGCATTCATTCCAAAGAGGAGGATCCTCCATCATCATCCAGATCCTTAGGTCCATCCAAGCTCACATCATCCACTCCACACCAATGGCGTGGATCTCCTGAAGCCTCCCAGGAAGCTCCTGGAGCTCTTTGACCTGACCGACTCCAAGTGGTGTGAGCATCGCTGGCGGGAAGAGGTGGACCTGCCCTGGACGCAGGTGACGGAGCCCTGGACGCCAGTGGAGGCGGTTTGGGAGCAGAGACAGAATGGGGTGGGGGGTGGATCTTTGGAAGTCAGGAATTGTCAAGACCATGTGTTCTTTGTATGTGTTTCCTATTATAAAATGCGACGACCGACCTAGACCTAGAACCGATCACTGTTTGGAAGAGAAAACAAACTACCCAAAGACATCCCGATTCACTACCCACATGTTCCAATCATTACTTTTTCGGTTTGCACCACGCCTTCAACCAGTTTTTTTTGCCGAGGAGGAGCTGGAGGACAAAAAGAAGCCACTGCTTTGAACTCTGGTGCCTCAGCGTCGGAGTCAGAAGACTATTATGAAGAATGCGCGCCAAGTGGATCCTCAAGAATCTAATACATATCGGTATTGTGAATGAGCATGTTTGGCCTTTGGATGTGTTTCACGGCGGCCGGACAGGCCTTGAGCATTTGGCTCCAACGGTAGCAAATAGTGTGCGCATTCCGCTTCCTTCGATCTTTCGTAGGTTTTCGGGTGCCGCTATTTACAGTGGTAGCGGAGCCTTAGGGTTCCGGGCCATTTCTGCGCGGCTTCGCTTTGGTGGCTTTGCTGGTGGACTACGCTAGTCCTACGTGTTGCGGCTTGCTGGCCGCTCTTTGGCTTTGGTGGTCTTTGACCTTGAGTTGAGGTCACTGACCTTGGACGAGAACTTCTTGGTGGACTTCTTTGCCTTTGTGGACGACTACGTCTTCTCGGTGGACTTCGTGCTCTGGACGACTCCGACTCGGCGGTGGACTTCGACCGAACTTTTTCCTGGAGGTCTTCCTGACGGACTTCCTTGGTGGCGTAAAGCCTCTCCCTCGGCCAAGGGATAGAAGGTTGCCTGGTGGTGGACTACATCCTCGTGGAGCTCATGGCGGACGAGAAGAAGGATGACCGGGGCTTTGATAGCTACATACCGGTCTGGGACGGCAGAAGCGAGACCCTCAGAGAGTTCAAGAAGGCCGTCCAATGGTGGTTGCACTCGATCGACCTGGAGAAGACCACTTCCTACAACTTGGCCGCACGCTTTGCTATGCGGCAGAAGGGCAGCGCAAAGTTGAGAGCTTTGGAGTTTGATCCAAAAGAGCTCGAGTACATCCCCGCCGAGAAGGTGAAGGATGATGAGACTGATGAGATGGTTGAGTTGACACCTGCGGTCTACGACGCTGGAATCCAGAAGATCCTGGCCTCCTGGGATGACATGGTTGGGAGGTCACAGACTGACCGCAAAGGTCAGCTTCGTGAGAAGTACTACCTTCAGCTTCGCCGTGGAGGTAGTGAAAGCATACCGAACTTTGCACTTCGGTATAGAACGCTGGTTGGAGAGATGAAGGCCGAAGGCATCATGGTGGACCCCAGCGAGCAGGCATGGTTCTTCAAGCAGAAGCTCGCCCTCACAGAGCTTCAGCGGCAGATGCTGGAGACGACCTTGGGGGTGGAGACAGAGGACTACGGTGCCTGCGAGAGGGAGGCTGTTCGCCTCTTCAAGCGAGTCCATTTTGGACATGGGCATGGACCTGGACATGGAGGACCACAACATGGCGGTCATGGAAACTTCGCTAAGCGACCTACTTCCTTGACGTCTTCTACCTTGTCCCGGTTCCGGAAGAGCTTTCCCTCGACTACTTCGTCTTCAAGCTCTACATGGCGGCGTGGCGGCGGCAAAGGCTTTGGCGGCTCAGTCAATGTCACGGAGTATGAGGACGAGGACCCGCCTGAGTATGAGGCCTTTGAAGCTGAAGAACACCCTGCCGAAGGTGAAGACGATGGTGGTGGAAACTCTGAGAGTCTTGGCGGCTTTGAGGGGCTTCAACAAACCCTTGAGGCCATGGCGACAGAGCTGGATGAGTTGGCAGATGGTTCACAGGCTGATGATGACCTGGCGGCCATTGAGGAACAAGTTGAAGGAGCTGTGGAAGCATTGGTGACCCTTCGTGAAGCGAGGTCACAAATCAATGCCTTGAAGAGATCGTGGATTTCGTGGACCTGGAACTTCGAGCTTCAAAGGTGGAAAGGGCCGTGGAAAGAAAGGCTCAACTGGTGCAAAGGACGGCAAGTGCTTTGCGTGTGGCCAGACTGGTCACTGGCAAGGAGACCCAGAATGTCCTGCTGGTGGCAAGAGTTCAGCAAAAGGGAAACAGCTTCCGAAGTTTCCCAAACCCATGCACAAGACAGGAGCTTCATCGTCGACTACCTCTCCCAAGTCTTCGACCTACCGCAATGAGGCCAATGCAGCGGAGGTGAACGTGGTCGACCTCCTGGAAGGTGCAAACTACAACGTGTCCTTCGACCTGGAGCCGACGGTCCATGAGATCAACGTGGTTTCAACGCTCTCGGAGGCTTTGACAGCAAGTGCAGCTGGACCTCCGGAGTTGAGCTTGGACAAGATGTATGTCGCAGCTCTTGACTCTGCATGCAACAGGAGCTGCGCTGGTGAAGAATGGATCAAGACCATGAAGGCAGCGCTGAACTATGCGCCTCCTGAGATCGAGAACCTGATCATGGAGAAGCCGGTGAGAGACTACTTCAGATTCGGCAATGGCGGAATCTTAGAGAGTCAGAAGCGCATCAGGCTGCCGATTGTCGTGAAAAACCAAGTGGTGCTTCTTTGGCTAGCTGCCATTCCTTGCGATTCACTAGGTTGCTTGCTGGGGAAGGACTTCCTTGAGAGCTTGGGGGCAACTTTGAACTTCTCTTCAAAGAAACTACAGTTGAAGTACCTCACTGAAGAATGGACACCCCTGAGCAAGATGAAAGCAGGTCATTTTTCTTTGAACCTCCTCCCAAAACCCTTGACCTCGTGGCCGACGCTTGGACCTCTCGCATGGCATGTCGTAGGTGTCGGAGGTTGCTGTGAGGTTCAATGTGAAGGTCGAGTCGCATGGAAGGCACACAATCGACTAGTTGATCGTTCGACTGACGTTGATGGTGACTTGAACATGGTTGTGCACTACATCCCGGAGTTCTTCAGCTCAAGCTCGTCCTGGCAGCTCGAAGATGATGCCCAATCTCTTCGAGATCTCCCCGACCGCTTCGCGATGGCAACGTCTTCTGCTGTGGATGGCTGCCAGGAGGACTTGGCATTGGAAGGGAGTGATGCTGTGGTTGGTGCAACGTCCATTCCTGCGCTTCCTGCCCGTGCCCTTGCCGGTGGTCACGAATGCGGAGGAGTGGAAGACCCAGCTCAAGGACATGGTGCGACGCAAGGTGTGGCCGAAGCGATGGTTGCCGAAGGCCCAGGAGGTGATGAGTCTTTTGCACCTTCAAGAGGCTCAGATGCTCCGCAACCGCATGGGCTTGGAGGAGGCGTTCATGGAAGACGAGGCCGTGATGTTCGGGATCAAGGCACTGAAGAAACCTCCCCGTGCTCGGAAGCAAGCTGCACTAGTTCAGGCTACGCACCAAGCAATCGCAGAGCTGGATGGCCGGAAGGAAGAACTCGCCAGAGAGCTTCTCGGACCCCGAGGCGGGATGCCTCGCAACAAGGCAGACCTGGTCAAGCTGGCGGTTCTCCTGAACGTGACCGTGGACCCCAAGGACACCAACGACCAGTTGAAGGCCAAGTGCAAACCGATGGTGGACGTTCTGATGGGGAAAGCCCTTGGCTCGAGCCCAGAGAGATCCAAAGGATCCGCAGAAGGCAGCGACCTCAAAGGACCAATGACTGGCTCGAAAGCGATGGAAGTATCAGCACCAACAGGACCAACTGCACAAGCCCCAACTTTGAGTCATCTCCAAGTACCTTGGGGACTCCCAATGAACCCGGATGGGCAGGTCCACTTCGACCACTTCAACCCCCAGACCCGTTCAGTTCAGGAAGGTTGGGTACTCACTCCTCAGTTCTACCAGCTGAACGAGACAGACGATCAGATGCTGTGAAGCTTTCAGTTGGCACCCTGGGGAAAGCAGCCTTCAAGGACTTGAAGAGTGGTGCACGCCTGGCAGTTCGAGATGGCGTCATGAAGGCCAGACGGATGAGAGATAAGATGGGTGCTCCAGTTAGCTATCTCAATGAGATCATGGAGGCAGAGTACGTCGACTTCATCGACAAGGTGGCCAGTGGTCAGGAGGCCGAAGTGTTCATGGCGGACCTCCACATGCCGCCTCTGCCTGCCAGTCGGTTTGACTGCATCCGCTTGCCCATCTCAGGACTTCGAGAACAACTTCAACGACCAAGCCGACTTCATCGACGGTTGACTGATGAGTGGCGTTTTGGCCACATCAATGGATGGATCTGCAGAGACCACTACTGCCCCAGGAGGATCCTCTTCCATCCGTCGACGGCTACGGTGCCCAGGTTCTTTCCCAATGAGGCATTCACTGGTCTGCGAAGATCCGTGTTCTGCGATGAGGAGGGCAACATCAACTTCGTCCGGAATGACAACTTCAAGGACAGCTGGAACACTCAGAGTCATGTTCACAGTCAAGTGGCAGTTCAAGGAGAGACCTGGCTTGAGATCAAGCAAGAGTGGATTGAACACGCTTATCCACCATGGTCATGGGAGCAGTTCAGCTTTCCGATAAGGACTGCAGTCATGCTTGGACAACAAGGCTCACATGATTGTCAGAATGGTGACAAGTTCTTCGTTGGCTTCGACACCATGAACCAGAAGGGCATGCTTCCTGTGGATAGCACAGTGCCGATCTCTTCATGGATTCGCACCGCTGAGGATGGTTGGATGATGCTGGAAGAAAAGGTACTTCATCGAGACCGAGCTGTTCATCGAGTACCTCATGGAAGCTTGATCAAGTCGGTGGAGGTCTACGTGCAGCTTCATCACAACACTCTTCGAGAAGATCCTCACCGGTACCCCATGGTTGGAGAGCTCTACACGGAGACTGAACCGGTGTCGGCCTGTGCAATTCGGAAAGGTCATGCGATCATGCAGTCTATCACCCTGAAGACTGGCTACGACTTGCTGAAGGTCAGTGATCGCAGAAGGGCAAACATGGACATCAGGAACAACAGACCTTTCTGCCTGATGATCGCTTTTCCATGCAGTGTCTGGTCCAACCTCATCAACATGACGACAAGAGGTGACCCAGTGAAGATAGCCCGACTTGCCAAGAGAAGGAAGTATGAGAAGATCTTGGTGGAGTATGCTGCGATGAAGGCTGTGGAACAGGTCCTCTCCGGGAACCACTTCATCCTGGAGAACCCGGCGACTTCAGCGGCCTGGAGATTGGTTGGCAAGCTTCGCAAGCTGGTTGAGAATGCGAAGGACCTGGACCTCTACCACGTCCGAGTCGACCAATGTGCTTCCGGGTTGCGAGGAGCTG